TGATACTATTTTTGGTCTAAGTCTTTTTTTAGTCCTCCTCCAGCAGTACTGACAGGTATGCCTTTCTTTCTTGAGGTTTGCTATTTTTATGAGCAGTAAGATCAAATGGAGCATTACAGAACTTTAAGGTGTAATCTTGTCCATAATGAAAAATATCAGGCCATACTGTAGCAGCAGGGCTGTGTGTTTTGTCCACACTCCTGAAAAGCTTTATACTTTGTTGCCTCCTTACCTTCCCTACTCTCAACAATAGAGGTGACTCTTGAATAGCTTGTGAGCAACTTTAGGACCTGGACATTTTGATGTACTCATATACATCATGTACTGGGGGGGAAAAAACTCTTCTGGGTTTAGCCGTGGTTCCAAAGCAGAGCAAGTCCCACACCAGATCTTTCTTTCTCAACACCCATAAACATTCTTTAGGCTTTACTGCATGCTGGCCTTTGGGGCCAAGAAAGATTGGTCAAGAAAGGTAAATAGTTTGGATTTGGGATTGAAGAGCAGGCATGCCAAATACAAAATTCTTTTCTCGCTGGAATCCTGACTTTTCTTTTTTATTGATAGTCTCAGGTGGCATTTGAGCCTTCTATTCCACTTAGCAAGTGTTTGATGACATTACAGAAGAGACTTCTAGTTTGAGTCACCTTCTTCTGACTCTGATGGTTTTCCTTACTTCATTGCATGAATAAAAATGTTGGAGTATAATTTTTAGAAAGTTCCCTTTTTTTAAAATTTACATGAAGGAATTTATTAACAGAAAACAATAATTTGATGAGTCCTGTTCACAGACGGCGACCACCCTTCCTGCGGGTGCTGTCGGAAGGGATAGGGGTGACATCCTCAATCCGTCCAATCTTCATTCCTGAACGGGCAAGGGCTCTGAGGGCAGACTGGGCCCCAGGTCCAGGGGTCTTAGTTCGATTTCCTCCTGTAGCGCGAAGTTTAATGTATAAAGCAGTGATGCCCAGCTCCTTGCACCTCTGTGCCACATCCTGAGCAGCCAACATGGCCACGTATGGTGAGGATTCGTCTCGGTCAGCCTTCACCTTCATACCACCAGTCACACGGCAGATGGTTTCCTTGCCAGAGAGATCAGTGACATGAACAAAAGTGTCATTGAAGGATGCAAAAATGTGGCAGACACCAAAGACATTCTCTCCTTCAGCCACCTGAGGTCCAAGGCTGATGACCTGCTCTTCCTTCTTTTCCTTTCCCTTACGAGGTGCCGTGTCTGCTCGTCGTCTCCAGACTCCGCCACAGGAAAGAGAGACTGGAAAGAGGCGGAGCAACCGAAAGTTCCCTTTTAATATACTATTTGGACATATAACTCTTCTAGAAGAATTTATTGGTCTTGGACAAATGCTCTTCTGGGAAAGTTTTTGTCCACATGCAAATTTCATTGAGCAAAATATGAATGATCTGAAAACCATACATAACACGGACACCAGTTAAAGTGTGACAGAAACAAAAAAAATAAGAGGCCAGCTAGAGGGGAGCAAACAGGAACTGGAGAGAAAAATCGCCTTTTAGTTATCAGTCGTAGTGGGAAAGAGACATGGTGATAACATGGATGTTGAAAGCAAGATATAACCAGGAAAGCCTTATTCTGGCCAATACTTACAACTTCTTCTTTTTCTTAGAGCATTTAGTGAAGTTGTTGACAAGTAGTATTAGAGGAGATTATGCATTAAAGAGGCTTGTTGTGTTCCAGAACACTAAAACAAGGAAGCATTCATTAGCAACTGAATGGATGAAAGAAAATATTGTACCATATAGTCATAGATTGTATAGTCGGTGCAGATACATGTATATTTATGTTGAAACAGTCATTTCCCTTAAATATTTGAGATTTGAATTGCACATGTTCTTACTAGCTGGATAGCGTACTATTCAGGCTGTCTTCATCAGCCTCGGGCAAAGTGGATTGGAATTGTACAACATGTGTAAACTTCACATTGAATGGTAATTAGTTCTGTGCTGTTCAGTGACACTTAATGTTGAGGTTAATAGTTCAGTAAAAATTTTGCATAGCCATGACTAGATACCTCGTGTTTATGGATAGGAAGACTAAGCATGAGTGAAAGCTTCTAGAGAGAGTGAGACTCTGTGTGTGTGTATCTGTGATATTGCCATCAAGTTGCAACTGACTCATAGCCAATCTTCCATTGGGTTTCTGAGGATGTAAACTGCATAGGAGGAGGTTGGTATCTTTCTCCTTCAAAGCCACTGGTGAATTTGAATAAACAGAAGTTCAGCCTTTTTGTTAATAGCGTAACTCCCTAAGAACTTTGTGTTTACATCTGTGAATATAGTATCAGATAACATCAGTTTGAGCTTTGTCATTCGTTGCTACCCAGGCCAAAGAAAATATGATATAAATGCTAGAAACGATGGGGTTTCTTTTTCTAGGGAGTTGTTAACTGAGTTTTCTGGAGAGTTTGTCCACTGAGCTCTTTTTTGCTTAAAGAAAGCTGTTTGTGAGGGTTATTCCAAAAGGCAAATGATCAAGAACTGATAAGCCTGCTTTTACCAAAAGGAGTGTATTGGGTGAGTGAAAGATAAATGTCAAATATCAAGACCATCGTGGGAAGTAAAAGTTTTAAAATTTCTCAAGTTTTATGCCTGGCATTATGTGGGTCCAGTAAAGACAAGAAATTGCCCTTTCTGTGACACAAAGGCTGTGGGCGTTGTTAAAAGTCCCAGTTTTTTCCATAGAGGATATTACAAATAAATAATGGTAAGATCCCGGTGGAAGTCTTCCTCTCCCCCACTGTACACTGTGTGCTGTAATGTTACTGTGTTTTGTTTTGATGTTTAACATTAAAAAATATAATAGTTTAACAATTGTGTATTTTGTAAAATTAGCATTTAAAAAAATATGTGTGCTACTCCATGAAGCCTGAATATTAAACACCAGTACTTGGGTGTCCTCTAGCCATAATTAGAATACTGCTGGCAAATCACCAAAATTCAGTGAGTCACAAACCAATTTAATAAAAAGAAAGAAGAAAGCCTCTGGAAGATTAGATTTCAGAATGTTCTTCCTTAATTTAGTTTGTCCATTATACTTTATTTTAATTATTGATGGCATTGCTTAACATGCCAGGAAATGTCTTGTAATAGAATTGATAAAATAATGAAGTTTCTGTAATAGGAATCTTATCTTCAGCATTCTGCTTTCAAATTTCTTCTGAAGATATGTTGTAAGGAAGGATCTAGTTTGGTGCATAAAAGCATGTCTTTGCTTACTAATATTATCCATTTTAGAATTTTGGAATCTAAAACTCATTTTAAAAAAAATAAGTGAAATTGCTTGTTATTTTGTTGTTGTTAAGCAAATAACACGGGGGGGGGTTTAGTAATAAAAAAACAATGTGCTACTAATACAGAAAAAGAATATATTTTTTAAAAAAGAATATTTTGAGATAGTACTTTAAAATGCTTGCTTATCCACACATAGACTTTTTAAACACACACACACACACACACACACACACACACACACACACACACACCCCAAAAAAACAAACACTTCTTTGTTGTGCTGGATTAGATTTAAGAAACAGAGGTTTGTTGGCATCGCCTTACTCTGAAGTAGATGAGTTAGAGTGAAGCCTAAGTGTACTTGCAGATGTAAATTGAGTTGAAAAAGGCAGACATTTACTTGTTTTGGTCTCATTAGGAGATGTAAGTCAGTCAGAAAGGGGCTGTCTTTTACTATTGTGGTGGGTTTTGCAAGCCCAGCTACCTCATCTGTTTTGTATATTTAATAATTGTTGTTGTGTGCTGTTGAGTCAGAGCCAATGCATGCCTGATCCTCCCGCAGGTTTTCAGAAGCTTGCAAGGGAGGATATTGCCCATCTTTCTCCCTTGGGTGGGGTTTGAACCTTATGCATTTGGTTTGGCAGTGCAACTCCTTACCCACTAGGTGACTAGAGTTTCGTGCACCTAATAGTAGAGGATCATAAATATGGTAAGTTGGGGTCAGATGAACTTCACCGAAGCACGTCAGTTCTATCTAGGCCATATGTTCCATAGCATGTATTTGAATGGCAATAAATAAATGCAGGGTAACACATTTAAAGTTAAATAGATAACAAATAATTCCTTTCTCACAATTACACACTAGTAATTGCTAGACTTTTTGGTACATTTATCTTTTAGATTCCTCCCTCCTCCGTTCTCCTCTCCCATTGGTGAAGAAGAAAAATATATTCTCTTACTGATGAATTTGGGTTAATGTTGAAAAATGTGTTTTTTTATCTCAAATTGCAAATGATTTCATTTTTATTTTTTATGTCTTCATCTGGCCTTTGGTCTCCGGGTACCATTTCAGTCGTCTTTTTCTAGTAATTTCATGCTTGGTCTTTAAGACCTAGCTCTTTCTGAATATTTTTAAATTTACTTGTGAACCAATTTCTTGGATGATGATGATGATGATTCTTCTTCTTCTTCCCCCTCCCCCTCCTCCTTTCTCCTTCCTCTCCCCCTCCTCCTTCCTTCTTCCCTATTCTCTCAATATTTGATCATTCCCCTGCTTTTTGTTGTCAGCGCTGACTCAGTGCTAGAAGACTCACTTTAGTTTCTGTTGTCATGGTGCCTTGGAGTTGGCACTGCCGGGCAAAGGTGAATCACAGACGCACGTCATTGCAAAGGGTGAAGGGCTTGTGCTACCCATCTCTGTATTTCCTAGGGCCAGCATTTAGCATTCGTTGCACTGAGGTGCTCTAAAATGCTCAGTGTCCAATAATCAGGAAGCTGGCTTGCTTCATTCAATTCCTTAATATATAATGGTAGCCCTTTCAGTGTTTCTCACATCTCTGTTTTCCACTTGGTACACAGTGGCACTTTGGTTTTCATAAAATAGAATACATGAAAGGCTTGGTTTCTGAACAGTGGATGAAGGATCCTGTCATGCAGCTCATGGTGAAGGGATTGGACTGCTGGGCCTCCCTTGATGTTTCTCGTTGCGAGCTCACTTCTGTCTCATCTTTCTGCAGGACCCTAACCGGAGTGTTCACACCAGCAGCAGCGGCAGCAGCTGCAGCAGCAGCAGCAGTAGTAGCAGCAGCAGCAGCAGCAGTAGCAGCAGCAGCAGTAGCAGCAGTAGCAGCAGCAGTAGCAGCAGCAGCAGTAGCAGCAGCAGCACCAGTTTTTCAAAGCCTCACAAATTAATGAAGGAGCACAAGGAAAAACCTTCTAAAGACTCCAGAGAACATAAAAGTGCCTTCAAAGAACCTTCCAGGGATCACAACAAATCTTCCAAAGAATCCTCTAAGAAACCCAAAGAAAACAAACCACTGAAAGAAGAAAAAATTGTTCCTAAGATGGCCTTCAAGGAACCCAAACCCATGTCAAAAGAGCCAAAACCGGACAGTAACCTTCTCACCATCACTAGTGGACAGCAAGAAAAGAAGGCTCCTAGTAAAAGGCCTCCCATTTCCGAGTCTGAAGAACTCTCAGCCAAAAAGAGGAAAAAGAGTAGTTCAGAAACGTTATTTAAAAGTTTTTCTACCACACCGCCACTGATACTCACATGTTCCGCTGAAAAAAAACAGACAAAAGAGAAATCTCATGTCAAGATGGGAAAGGTCAAAATTGAAAGTGAGACATCAGAGAAGAAGAAATCAACTTTACCACCCTTCGATGATATTGTGGACCCCAACGACTCAGACGTGGAGGAGAATATGTCCTCTAAATCGGATGTGAGTAGTCTTGTTGACTTCCTTTCTTCCCTTACCTGGTGGTTTTTTCTTTCCAGTAGCTTCATAGTGAATGATGAAGAAAATGAATGTCGAGCCATTGAATGAATGTTGAGGTGGTAGCATGCAAAGAGTTGTAGCCAAAGGAGAGTTGACTTAACCAATGAGAAGGAAGAAGAGCCATCATTATGAGTTTACAGATTTTCTGAGTGTGATTAAGGTTATTAAAAGAAAGAGAAATTCTGTGGCGTGGTAATGAGTCAGGATAACACTAGAAAAATGTAGATGTTTATCAGAGCTTAGTTAATATGATTTTCACTTATTTGACTTAGGAAGAAATGAGAACTAGAATAAAACTTGAATCCAAGTTAACATAAACTTAAAAGGAAATCTTGGAATATATTGGATTATAGCTATAATATTGATCTTTTGCTTAGTGGAATGCTGTATAGAGAGAGTTGGTGATGCTGCTTTTTACAGCTTTTTGAAGGCACATTTTATATAACAATAGACTACACATAGTTAAAGTTCATAATTTGAGCTGTGGTGTTGGAGAAGAGTATTGACTATACGATGGACTGCAAAGAGATCAAACAGGTTCATCCTGGAGAGGGTGAAGCCAGGTTGCCCCTTGGAGGCAAGGATTCTGAAGCTCTGTCTGGCATAGTTTTGACATGTTACATGGAGGAAGTCATGCTTTGGAGGGTGGAGGAACAGTGCAATAGAGGAAGACCCTTATGAGATGAGTTGACTCAGTGTCTGGGGTAATGGGGGTAAGTGTGTCAGAGGCAATAAGGCTGTCTCAGTATAGAGCAGGGTTCAGAGCAGTTGTACATAGGGTCACTGTGAGTTTCAGGTGACTTGACGGCACGTAACAACAGCAACAACCCATATTTAAAATTGACCTTTTGCTAAGTTTTAACATGTGAATGAATATACATGTGAAACGAGGTGATTATTTGGAAACACTTACTCCTCCCTGTCGCCAATGTAGCATGATCTTCACTGAAACGTTTTTGCGGCTAGATATACTGGTACCCATTTGACCATCTAAGTTCTGGTGGCATAATGTGTATCAGGCTGCTTTCCCAAAGGTCTACTGTTCAAATCTACTAACCCATCTTTGAGAGCAAGCTGGGTATATTAGCTCCTCCTTCAAAGGTTCAGAGGCTGGGAAAGCTGATCGAGGGTCACTGAGCTGTGAAATGAGATGGATTTTTAATTTTGATCCGACCACAGAATTTTTTTTTAAAAAAGTCACTTGATTTTGGGATGTAGACTTTAAATTGCATATTTATCAATCAGAAGGGATTGTGTTCAAGATAGACAGCTCTGGCGGTGCCCTAGTGTTTAAGAGTTGTGCTGCCAACCCAGAGGCACAGGGTTCAAATCCACCAGCTGCTTTGTAAAAGCAAAATGGGTGATGTGTTCCTGTGCACTTTACAGTCATGAAAAACATGGAACTGGAGGATCAGCTAGGAATCGGTTCCAACTCAGTGGCCCAAGGCAACAACAGCAACAACTTGCAAGTTACCTAGTTGCACTTCTTACTAGTGTAAGAAATCTTACAACTCTCGTGACAGGAACTGTTAATAATTTAGTTGATACTCTGTTTTATTTCTAAAGAGTCAACATTATTTTATATGAAGTTTCTCTTCATTTTTCTTTTTCTTCCACTTTGGTCTTTGGCTGATCCCCGGAATCTTACTTCTGCTCATTAGTATTTTTAGACAAGATCAAGTAGGATGACTGGCTCTGTATTGCTGGGTGTTTCCGAATGTGTATTCTCTTTGCCGCCCCATGTGTCACCCCAAAAATGTCCCTGGTTCAGATGCTGACAAGAGCTAGGAGGTTTCAGTGGCAGCTTTCCTGTCCTGCGTTTCGCATTGACTCTTCAGGACATATGTCAAACCATTCTCAGTCGATCACAGGTCACATTCTTCCTTTTCTCTCTATAGCCAATCTTGAGATTTTAATAGCAGGTCACTTAGGAGTGTATGAAGCACTGGTGACTGATTTGTTCCATTGTTTAGCAAAGACTTTAAGTGTGTGAAATGGAGATGACAGCTGATGGGTTTATTCCAGAATCTCACACGTTTATCTTTTCCTCTTTTGCATCTTACTACCATCGCACCTGTTAATTAGAAACTTACTCTTTATGCAGTTGTTACTTGAAACTCATTTTGTTATGTTTGTCTTTTGTTTCAAATCACCCAGATAGGTTCATTGATGCTATTGGGGTATGATTAGTCTATCTATCAAGTCTGTCAAGTTTAGCAACTTTGTTTTTCTGTCTTCTGACATGTTATGATTTTTTTTCAAATGGAGTTTTTCAAATTGTGGAGTGTGACTCACTAGGAGGCTTGAATTCAATTTCATGTGTCATCATCACCATTTAAAAAGATCTCAGAATACAATGTAGCTTGTAATGGTTCGTGAACATTTTATTTCAGAAGGTTTATGTCTGTATTTCTTAGTAGGTCATGGTCAGAAAGTTGAATGTCAACTGTCTGGAGTGTTTACTGATTTGTAGGACTAAGTGGCATTTATAAAGCACCATTGCCTGCTCTGTCTATTGTCACAGAGGGACTTCCTCTTTGAATTCTCTTTGAGCAGCTTCATAGCGGCTGCTTACTCACTCCTCTTTACATGTAACTTACAAAGCATGCCATTTATTTTAATAAAAATTTTTGTTCTACTTTGTATGTGTCTAAGGCAATACCTTGAAAAGTCTTCTGGATCAAAACCTTACAATCATAATTTTTTACAATAGTTGCCTTTTCAGAATGACACATGGCATCTTAGCACAGTTAATGCTTGCGATTCTCATGGAGTTCTGTCATGTGCTCATATCCGAAAATGAAAAGCCTCTAGAGATTTTTTTGGTACTGCTTGGATATCAACATCCTGGTGAGCACAATGATTTTTCTGTTGTTTCTTTTGGTTTTATTCCCTAAATGTGAGTGCTACCACAGAAGAGAACTGATAAATAAAAGAAGGCTGAAATTCCATTTTTCCAATAATTAAGAGATTTTACTTGCACTTTCTCATACTTGCCATCCCTCCTCTGGACCAGAGAAGAAGGAAAAGGAACTGGTTGTAAGGGAGGATTCCAAGCAGCCTGTGGCCACAGTTTGGCCAATAACTAATTTGATCACTTGGACCAGGGCCTTGTCCTTGCACGATACTTTCCACCTTCACATCTCGGTGAGCCTGTTCTCATCTGTGTGTGATAAGATGATCTAAGTCATCTCAAGACATTTCCAGCTTCATTACTGAAATCTGTGTTCATGTTCATAGATAAAGAATTGGGTGGTCAGTAGTTGTACAAGGAATGGACAAAGATCATAGATTTTGAAAATAGAAGTGCAAAAAGAAATAAGAGTGAAGAAGTAGGAAGGGCAGGAGAAGACAATTATTCACCTGCTACGTCTGTAAAGAAACATTCCATCTTGGTACAGGTTGGTGTCATTGTTAGGTGCTGTCGAGTTCCTTCTGATTCAACTCTGGTGACCCTGTGAAAAGTAGGACAAAGCACTCGTTGCCTGGCCATGCCCCATTCTTACAATCTCTGCAGTATTTGAAATCAGTCTTGTAGCCACTATGACAGTGTGTATCACATGGAGAGCAGTGTTCTTTGTGGTGGCTCTCTACTTCATCATGCATAATGTATTTCTCCAAGGACTAGACCTCCCTGATAACAAGTCCAGATATGTGAGTGAAGCCTTGTCATCTTTGCCTGTAAGGAGTATTCAAGACAGATTTCTTTTTCTCTTGGCAATCTGTGAGATAGTCAATATTTATCGTCAACACCACAATTGTCCTTATTCTTTGTCCAGCTTTCAACCATGTAAGAGGTGAAAGAAAATGCCATGGCTTGAGTCAGACGCATGGTAATCCTCAAAGTTAGATCCTATCTTTACTGTTTGTGGTGTCATTGGTAAGTGCTGTCAAGCTGAGTACGACTCACAGTTACGCTTTGAATAACCGATCTGAACCCTGCCCTTTACTGTGCCATTTTTCCCACTTATAATCCCTTGTTTAATTTTTAAAATGCTACTTCTATGGATGTTGAATATAGATCCATGTAAAATGAAATCGTTTCAACATCAGTCTTTTTTGGGTACAGGTTAGTTTTGGCTGAATGGGAAAAAAAAAGAAAATTTTAAAGGATGCTTTCTATATTGAACTTAGGTTTTAGTTTTTATATAAAAGTTGTTTTGTTTTTTTTTTTTTAATTATTTTGTGTGCGTGTACCGTCAAATCAGATCTGACTGGTACAGGAGGATATTGCGCCTCCTTCTCCGGCAGAGCATCTGGTGGATTCGAACCGTGTTTCTCTGGGATTGCAGTGCAGCTATATAAAAGTTGTTGATTGTTCGAGTTGAGCATGTCTCCTAGCAACCCTATCAACAAAAGGCCTGAAGCCCTCCTCAACTATCAACATTTATCAAAGTTCTTAGAGTTTCCGGAGGCATGTTGTTTAGGAAGTGGGTTATATAAAAGTAAAGTATAATATTATTAAAGAATTATAGGGAATCTTTCTGATTCATGTGATTATCTGTGCTTAAATTTCAGTATACTTTGTGTATGAGAAGAGAGATGCATAGTTTTCCTGTGTTTGTATGCCTGAGTATCTTTTGAGAATCACATTATTTGTTGATAAATGTGTAGGTAGACAGACATGTGGTTGGACTGTCTGATAAATAGAAGTCTGATCTACACTATAGAGCGCTCTGGTGGCTGAGTGGTAAGGCATTGCTCTGCCAATTTAAAGGCACACAGTTCAAATCTACCAGCTGCTCTGTGGGAGTAACAGGATTGGTCATCTCCTATGCAGTTTACAGCCTCTGAAAACCTATTGGAGGGTTAGATGTGGGTCAGTTTTTTCTAGAAGGTACATAGCAGCTACCTGTACTGTACCCAAATCTACACTAGCGTGTCAGATCCACCACTGATCTTGCCCAAATGATTTTATTTTCTTGGTGTCTTCTTTTGTAAAA